TGCTTTCCCAAGAGGCCAGACAAACCTGCCTCGTGGGTTTTACAGGCTAGGGAGACTGCCGGCAATGGTGGACAAGGCTTTCAGTGTTAGTCTCTGACCCTGGTGACGTGGAGGCTATGGGATTCCATCCTTCTAAGAAAGCAGAAAGACACTGTGGGAAACGGGAGTCCTCACTTTGTAATAAGTGTACTGGAGACTCATAATAGGAAAATCGAAATGGCAAAAATAGCTGGTGGGTCCCTTTGGAGTAGAACTGGTACTTATATCCCTGATGTGTTTCCCTTCCCGCTTGGATTCCACACTGGCTAAGTTCTTCAGGGAGTGTCTAGCATTGCCCCCTCCCCAGCGACCCCATCCTATTGGTTCAGCACACAAAGCCTTACGTAATGCATATGATGAGGCTCAACATTTGCGCTTTTTCTTATCATGGGCTCAGTTACAGAGCCCATTGCCTGAGACTTTGAACCCTAGAATAACTACAGAGCTTCTAGACGTGCGGAGCCAGCAACAGAAGACAGGGGTCCGGTGCCTCCTGCTTCTCTGATCTCACTGTACCTCATGTGGAAAAATGGGCTATAATGGTTTGTTTCTTACAACCCAAAAGAAGAAACCCAAAGTCCCAGGCTTCTGATGGCCACACATCTTGCCCCTGCTCCGAGCATCTCCAAGTGGCTCTAAACAATCCCATCTCTCCTGGGGCTCAACCTTCATAATATATTCATAATCTGTCTGACAGCTCAGCACTTAAGAACACATACAGCTCTTACAAAGGACCCACGTTCTGTTGTCTGCCGCAAGAGAGTCAGCATCACCTAGAGGGGGCATTACTGTCCCACACAGCTCCTGGTGAGTCACATCCAAGAGCAAAACCCCACTAAGGGTAGAGATAGGGGCTTGTGACAGTGACCCCATGTCCTGTGGGGTATGTAAGCTTATTTTTTTTATATTTATTTATTTATTTATTTATTTATTTATTTATTTATTTATTATTCTGTCTCTGTGTATACCTGAAGGCCAGAAGAGGGCACCAGACCTCATTATAGATGGTTGTGAGCCACCATGTGGTTGCTGGGAATTGAACTCAGGACCTTTGGAAGAGCAGGCAATGCTCTTAACCTCTGAGCCATCTCTCCAGCCCCATATGTATGTAAGCTTATTAATACTAGATGAGTGAATATGCTTTTAAAGGGGCTGGAGAGGTGGCTCAGCAGTTATAGCACTGGCTGCCCGTCCAGAGGACCCGGGTTCAATTCCCAGCACCTACATGGCAGCTCACAACTGTCTGCCACTCAAGTCCCAATGACCCCCGACTCCCTCACATAGACATACATGTAGGGCAAACATGGAATGCACATAAAAAATTATAAATAGACTTTCAAATCGGTGTACATAGCTGAGAAGGGAAAATAGCTCTTTGTGGGTGTCAAGTTCATCTCAGGTCATGCCAGACAAGGTACCCTGGAAGGACCCATAGGACATTGGCACAGACTGACCCTGGAGCAGAAGGGAGGAGAGTTTGTAAGTGTATTTTGAAGGTTACGCTAACAGGTCACCACTGATGCTTAGATGTAGGGTCAAAACAAGGGAATGGATATCTAGAGGATCCAGGTCTGGCTGGAGGAGTCAGAGGGTGGAACTGGAATCTGCCAACTGAGAGAGGACTGGGGTAATTACAGATCCAGGGAGTGGGGTTCAAGACCTTCAGGAGAGGACCTGAAGTCAGGAGGGAGGTCAGAGGTCAGCGATTTCTTGTTCCTGACAGTGTCCATCTGGGTCAGGATCTGATTCTCATGCCGGGGGCAGTCCCTGGAGGCAGCTTCCTGAGTGACAGCCACAGGTCGATTCACTGATTGACAACCTGACTTTAGGCAACATGTCGCTGGGCTGCCTGCTGCCCCATCCCACGCTGGGCACCGAGAGCTGAGCTATGTCAGATTCACCAGAGCCCTGGAGAAGCCTACATGACAATCCAGAGGGCATGTGGGCGGGACCAGCAGGCTTGACTACAGCACAGCAGAAAGCTTAGCTTTTCTGGGTCAGTAGGGCAAAACTGGTTTGTCAACAACTGGAATGAAGTCTGCAGCAGACGCGGCTCTGTCTGTCTGTCATCTGTGAGGTCTGGAAACCCTTTCCTGATCTCTCCCTTGTCCTCCTATCTCCCACTAAATCTCATCACCAGGTTCCCACAGGCCCCACATCCTGGGCCCACCCTAGTGGGTCGGAGCCAGAAGAATGAATGCAACTGATGGACATATGAACTCACGGACACTATGGCCGCGTGCACAGGGCCAGCACAGGTCCAAGGCAGATGTGGCTCCACACTGAGAGGGGGAACTGGACGCAGGGTCTCACCCCTAACCAAAATGCTAAGTGCAATTGATATCACCGAGCAAGGGAAAACCTAGTTTTCTCTGGTGGAGTGTCACTGAGTATATTAAGCACACTTCCGGGGAGGCCCCACACCCAGGAGTCGTTGGCTAACATAAATTTAACTCAGGGGTGGTTTTGAGGGCATTTTGCATCATTTGGGCGTTTTTTTGTCTTATTGGTCTTTTGCTTGTATATTTTAGCTTCTGTGTTTGTGCTTTTGTAGGAGTTCTGTGGATGTTTCTGGGTTTTGTTTTTTTAAAGAGAGAGGGGGTACAGAATTGGGTGGGTGGGGAGGTTGAGAGGAGCTAGGAGGAGTTGGAGGAGGAGAAAAGTAGGGTCAAAATATATTGTATAAAAAATTCTTCGAGGGCTGGAGAGTTGGCTCAGTGGTTAAGAGCATTGCCTGCTCTTCCAAAGGTCTGGAGTTCAATTCCCAGCAACCACATGGTGGCTCACAACCATCTGTAAAGAGGTCTAGCACCCTCTTCTGGCCTTCAGACATACAGACAGAATATGGTATACATAATAAATAAATAAATAAATATTTAAAAAAAATTCTTCGATTGAAAAAATAATTAAAATTTGCTTTGAGATAAAAAAAAAGAGAATTGAAGGTTGTAGTGATATATACATAAATAACAGTTATAGTTTTGGGGGGAAAGAGCATGAATGCAGGCTCTAGGGAGCAGCTTGCAGAAACCCCATGAGACAATCTGACTGACGACGAGCCTCACCCTGGCCTCACTGGGCTAAATGCCACAGTGAACGCCCTAGAATCTTGAGAGCTTGTATCTGGTACCTGGTTGACCTCCCCAGATTCTTGAAATCCTGTATTTGGTGCCCAGTGACCTCCTTAAACTCTTGAGAGCCTGCATCTGGTGCCAGGCTGCAGCTTGGTTTTGTGCACTCCCATCCCCAAAGGCTGTTTTAGAAGTTCTTAGGCAAGCTGGAAAGAGAATATGGTTGGGGGAGGGGGGAGTCCCCAGAACTCTGTGTGCTTTGACTATTGCTCCCACCCTGTCCATCTGGGTCACTTCATGGCTGTCTGCAAGGGGGTTCCATGAATCTCTAGATCCACTGTCTCCATAGTGGTTTGGTGGAGAAACTGAGGCCCAGAGGGAAGACGCTGTCTAACCAACCAGTAGGACTTTAGCAGGAGGGCTTAGAACTTTGTTCTTGCCCCTTCATTCCCTTGGTTTCTCCCAGACCCTCTTGCCATCCACTCAGCTCAGGTGCAAGACAGCAGCTCTGACTTGATCCTTTCTGTTGCAACCCTGAGAAGTTACTTCCTGATGTCAGAATACCATGCCAGCTCCAGTTCATGTCCTTGTCCTCAGCCAAACATCTATACCCTTATAACTCTTAAAGTCTTCTCAGACTGGTTTACAAGGGCCCTTGTGCACGGGGCATCTGAATGTATAAATGACCTCGGGCAAGTCCCCACACTTTCCTGCACAATGTCCTTATTTTAAAATGACCATCATGTCTCCTTTGAGGTCTGCTGAATTTATAATGTGTGGGGCAGGACGGTGCATGCCTATAATCCCATACTCATGCAAGCAACCCTAATTCAGATGAAGGAGTTGGGCTAGAGAGGTTGCTCAGTGGTTAGAGGATGGTACTCCTTTCTTGCAGAGCAATGGAGTTCAGTTCCCAGCACCCACATGGGGCAGCTCACAACTGCCTGTAACTGTAGCCAGAGAAGATCTGATGCCCCCGAGGGCACCTGCACTGATGAGCACATACACATACAAGTAACTTAAAACAAACAAATGAAAAGTAGAGTTGGGTGGTAGTGGTGCACGCCTTTTATCCCAGCACTCAGGAAGCAGAGGCAGGCCTCCTGAGTTCGAGGCCAGGCTGGCCTACAGAGCAAGTTCCAGGACAGCCAGAACCACATAGAGAGATCCCTGTCTCAAACACACACATATGTATGTGTGTGTGTTTATGTGTTAAAGTGTTTTGTCTGCATGTTTGTATGCAGACCACATGTGTATCTGGTGCCCATGGAAGTAAAAAAAAGTCCAGCAGATCCCCTGGGACTGGAGTTATGAATGACTATAAACCATGTGAGTGCGGGAAACTCGCCCCAGGTTCTCTGAACTCCCGAGCCATCTCTCCAGTCCCTCAAAGAGTAAGTTTAGAAAACAAAACCACTTTCTTTTAGTCTGAAGATTTCATAGAGACCACACAGGATGGGTGAAGCAACATAGAAATTTGTTGAAATACACTTGGAACAAGTTAGAATAAGTTCCGAGGCCTGGCAAGTCCTCGATCAAGGTTTCTGGAGATTGGATGTCTAATGAGGGTATTTTAGACGATGCTTTCCTCACTGAATCTTCACATGGTGGAAGGCGGCAAGTTCTGAAGCTTCTTGCATAAGAGCACTAATTCTGAACCACCTCTGACTTTACACCACACCGACCGTGATATAGCTATTAAAGCTAATCCCTACCACAGTTGTAACCACAAAGAAGAATGTCCAAGCCTCAAGACAGGAATCATAGACAGAGGATTTTATTACAAAGCAGATTGAAGACTTCAACATAGGGAAGAGACACGTAGCCAACATGATGGGAGAAGACCCGGAAACTTTTACCGAAGAGAATATTGACAGAGCTATTGCTTACCTTTTTCCAAGTGGTTTGTTTGAGAAGCAAGCCAGGCCAATAATGAAGCATCCTGAACAAATTTTTCCAAAGCAAAGAGCAATCCAGTGGGGAAAAGATGGCCGTCCATTTAATTTTCTCTTCTACACTGTCGACCAATCATACTATTCATTAATGCATGAAGTGTGTGGAAAGGTCCTCCAGCTAGAAACGCACAGAAGTCCACTTTCAGAGAAAACTGAGACCAAAGACCTGATAGGTAACAGATGGCTGATTAAGAAGGAACTAGAAGAACTGTTAGTGGGGAAACTGTCAGATCAAGATTATGTGCACTTCATTCAGCTGCTGGAAAAGTTATTGACATTGCCGTATCGTCCTGCCGAGGAAGAATTCATGCAGACGGTCCGCAAAAGTCTAACCGTCCAATCAAAGAAGCAGGTGATGGAGCCGTGCAGCGTGACGAGCGAGGCACGGCCTTCAGCGCCAGCGAAGGCGGGAGGAAGAGCGCCACAGGCACGGAAGTGGGAAGATCCCTGTGAACGGAGTTGATTACCGGCTTCCCTTTCCCGTCACACAGGACAGAGAACAGCTGGTGTTCCCTTTCCACTTCCTGGACCGGCTGGAGAAACACAATGCAACCTGCACCGTCTCCGGGGGTGTGGGAGATCAGCGCATGCGGGAGCCGTACGTTTGGCAGTGGCCGGCGCTTTCTGCAGCTTCATCACCGAGGACGAGATAGAGTGGATGAGATCAGCTGGACTACTTACTCCTGACCCGTGGATCAGAGATCGGAAGAAGCCAGGCCAGGAGGGTGCCAGAAGGAAGTTCACCTGGAAGAAGCGCTAACTAAGACTTTCACAGGCAAGCAAGGAGCACCTGTGTCTACATGCCTGCTTCGTGGTAGAGCACGTTCGTGTACACTGACCAGGGGCAGGCAGCACGTTTAGACATTGTTTTTAGTTTGAGTCATAACTATTTTTATTTTTAAGTGCTGTTCTTATGTGATTATCATTAAAAATAATAAAAATAATGTTAGCTTCGTAAAAAAAAAAGAAAGAAAACAAAAGTATCACTGTGCTTGTATGTAGGAAGTGCCCTTCTGTGTGCTGTTATCCTAGCAATTACTATAGAGAGCCAGCCCTCAGGATACTGTACCAGAGGTGTCATGTATCACATAATCACACAAATATGTGTAAAGCCACAACAGGGGAGGAATAAGTCCCCGGGATATCATCTGGGCTTGCCACCTTGGTGGCAAGGCAGGAAGGTCCCTGAGGGTGGTGTAACTCAACCTGAGTGGATAGCATAATGGCCCCTGCTTCAGTTCCGGGTCATTCTCAGCTCTGGGCCTTCTTATGGGGTGCGTGTCCATCAGGACCAGCACATCTGGTGTCCTGTCACCTCGGAGAGAGACTGGCGAGTCACTCAGGTTAACTCTGAGAGGCTGGTGGCATCTGGATCCACTTCAGGCCTCATGTCCTGGCACCAAACTGCTCGGGGTGATCACAAAACGTTAGGACTGTGAGCTGGGCAGTGATGGCCGCCTTTAAAACCAGCACTTGGGAGGCAGAGGCAAGCGGGTCTCTGTGAGTTTGAGGAGAATCTGGTCTACAAATCGTGTTCCAGGACAGACAGGGCTGTTACACAGAGAAACCCTATCTCGAAAAACCAAAAACAGCAACAACAACAACAACAAAAAAGTGGACTATTTGAATGATATTCCTCCCTCGGTGGGGAACCTAGAACAGGGGTCTGCTGAATGGAGGGTCCAGGAGGGAAGGCAAAGCAAAAGAAGTAGGGCAGCCCAGAACTCTATTTGCCATGCTTTTTAACTATGCTTATATATATGTATGTATGTATATATATATATGGGTGTATATATCTGGGTGCACACACACCACAGCTCAAGTGTGACGGTGAGGTGACAACCACTGAGACTCAGTTCTCGCCCCTCACCTATGGGCCCCAGGGATTGAACTCAGGTCATCCGGTTTGGCAGCAGACACCTGTTGAGCCATCTCACTCACCCCAGACCGGAAACTCTTCAGAGAACCTCCCAAGAAATGTGAGTACAAAAGAACCCAGGAAAGAAAGAGCAAGGAAGCTGGGGGGAAGCTAGGGAAGAAATGGAATTGGGGAACTCAGGGGAGACTGGGTGGTGGGAGTAGGGTCGAGGATGCCTAGTGATAGGGGAAGGGTGAGTAGGGATAGGGTGAGGCCTTGCATGTGGAGTTCCCAGGAGACAGCAATGATGTTTCGTCCACAAGAATTCAGGCTGGGGGTCCAGCCTGGAGGCCATTGGAGGCACAGAACTAGGTAAAAAAAAAAAAAAAAAAAAAAAGTCTCAAGCCAAGCAGGACCACGGCCAGAACACAAGGAAAACAAGCTGCAACCGGAGAAAAGAAACTTCTGAAAAGCTGAGCAAAAGCAGCCCCCATCCTCAGAGCCGCATGTCTCCCCCAAATCCAGAGTGCGTGGAAAGGACTTTGGAGGTACAGACATGCCTCAGACAGGGATCTTCCCCCAGAAACTCCTCAACGAACCAGCCCTACCAAGGCCCAACTTTCATCTACTGAACAGATCTGCCTTCTGACCTGCAGAAGGGAGAGGATCAGGTTGTGTTATTTTAAACCACTAGTCATATAACATTTGGTACAGTAGCCAGTAGGGAATTGACTCAGAAATAAAACACCTGCAGATGGCAGTGCTTAGCTCTGGGGGGCTGGGCTACAAGAACCCTTTTCTTTTCTTTTTTTTTTTTTTTCTTAATTTCCAAACTTTCCAATTTCCTTTTTTTTCTTTTTCTTTTCTTTATTTCTTCTTCTTTTCTTCTCCTCCTTCTTCTCCTTTCCTCCTCCTTCTCCTTCTCCTCTTCCTCCTCCCCCTCCTCTTCCTTCTTCTTTTTATATAGACAAGGTCTCACTGTGTAATCTTGACCCTGAACTCAATATATAGACCAGACTAGACCTGACTTCAGAGGTTACCTGACTCTGCCTCCTGGGTGCTGAAGGCATGTTCCACCACACCCAGTTCTACTTTCTTTGGTTGTGGTGTGGGTGTCTCTATAGCCCAGACGAGTGTGGGATTCACTAAGTAGCCCAGAGTAGACTCCAACTCCGCACAATCCTGCTGCTTGGGCAGGGACCCTGGACTACACACTTTCTAGGCAAGCAATCTACCACCCAGCTTCATCATCCCCAGCCCTCTTACTTTTCATTCTAAGACAAGGGTCTTGCTAAGTAGCCCAGGCTGGCCCTGAAGCTTCCACTCTGCTTCTTCTGCTCTCCCAGCAGCTGGAATTCTAAGCGTGTGCCACACACCTCCTCATCCTGTCCACGTATGGGACACTTGGGACAGGAGGGGACATTCAAAACAAAAGGTTCCTAGTCATCTCTACCACACAAGGGCACTGATCTGAGCACCCGCCCTTTGACCTCCTCTAACCTTAGTGATTTTCCCAGGGGTCCCCTCCCCAATAACAGTCACACTGGGGTGAGGCTTCAACTCATGAATTTGGGGCCACTCACACTGTCAGAATTTGGGGGCTGGAAAGATGACTCAGGTTAAGACAGTGTGCTGCTCTTGCAGAGGATCCAGGTTTGGTTCTCAGTACCCTAGTCTGGTGGCTCACAACCGCCAGTGACTGCAGCTCCAAGGGAACCCGCGCCCAGTGCACATACTCACGCATGTGTGCGTGTGTGCATGCATGTGGTGTGTGCGTGTGTGTGTATGTGCGTGTGTAAAAACGATGACAAAACCTTTCAAAATTTGGGCAAGGAATGGGGCAGTCTGGGAGAACCAGCCATGGCTCAGGGCAGAGGGGCCACAGTCTAGATCCAAGACTGTGAGAAGCCAAACCCAAGGCCCAGCCCTGTTACCAGTGGTCATTTGGCTCACCTATGTCCTAGGGAAAGGGACTGAACTCTGACTCCTGGGCAGGGTCCTCTCTAGGATAAGAGGACAGACCCTCTTCGTACCCCCGGGTGTTGTCCGTCTAGGAACAGGCAAGGACAGCCTAGGCCATTACTACCCATAGTTCTCAGAGTCCACGGCCATCCCAGGTCCGTGCCGACTTTGTCCTCCCTCTCCCGTCTCCCTGGGCATGTGGTGATGGCTTGTGGTTCCAAGGGAAAAGTTTGGGCCTACATCTAACCTTTACCTGAGCCATAAGCCCTGGGAATTTTGGCACAGCTAGGTTTTTACCATTTACCTACGTCACACAGCCGTGGAGAACTGAAGCTGGCCTGTGAATCCAATCTCACGCTCGGCTTGAGCCTCACTGCGCATGTGTGAGCGGAAGCCCACCACTGACCTACGACTGAGAACCATAGCACCTTCAAACCCAAACTTGAGAGATGGGTTCTTCTAGAGACGACAGGAAGCCACCTAGTCGTGCAGGTGTTCCTTTTCAGACACTTCTGAGCCTTGTTATTGCTCAAGAACCTGTTTCTCAAGTGAACGTTCCATCCCAGCAGGCAGAGCCTCAGTAGGAGGAAGGACCCTCTGAAAAATAATATAAGCAAGGCCAAGGTTTGACACCAAGGTCCTGTTAGAGCAGGCCTGGAGGGCTCCTTTTCTGGGACTGTTGGTCAAGGCAGCCTGGGGTGGGCACATGACGAGGTGAAGGTTGACAGGCAAGGCTCCGCCAAGAGGGATCAGAGTGCTGTAAAACACTCTGGCCCTCAGAGGTATCCCCTGAGGACCATTCCAGGCTGGTGAGTGATACAATCTTATTTCCAACCTGTGACTCTTTGACCACTGTTCCCCAGAAGATAGCAATGAACGCCAGTGCAGCAATGAAAGACTGGAAGACCTGGAAGACTTCCTGGAGTCAGGATGCCTCAAGGAAGGTCAATGTTCTTGGCTGAGGGAATTGCTTGTGCTATGGTGGGGTGAGAAGAGCAGGGTGCAAGGTGCGGGAGGCTTTCTAGGAACTGCAGGCCCGTGGGCAGCAATTCCCTGACCAGCGTGTCCCTGCGTCGCCCGCACCCAGCGCAGGTGTCAAGCGCCCTCTGGCGGCGCTCGTGGGCTCTGCGGCCACGGAGGGGTGACCGTGTGCACCAGGGTGATCGGCCCAAGTTCTATCAGAACTAGAAAAAGAAAGCTTTGCGATAGAAAAATTATCGTTATCTTAA